ACCCAACTATATTTTTGGGGGAAATTTTGTCTGTGTCGCAGGTGAAGTCTGGGAACCCTGATCTTAACTCTAACCTGCTTGAAGATTAATGTGCGAAGATAAGCATCTCTCCCTGCTGTAGTCGGGACTGGTACTTTACTATCGATGCAGATTCCCGATAGGTGCATCTGAATGATACAATCACACCAGAATGCTTTGATTTTAATTAAAAGGAGAATTACACTCCCAAGTAGAAAATCCCTATTATACTAAAACACGTCTTCTGATCTTTCAAAAAAAGTGAATAGTGAAAGTTGAACAAATAAACCTTATCTTGTCTTTGGGTAAATGACATTCTGGTTCAAAATAGTGTTTGACTTCCCTTGGTAACACTAGTAATTCTCCCATTCTTAACCGATTTTTATGCTTTTTCCCTGATACTTTGTGTAGAATGTTTCCCATACTGGTGTATTTTAGTTCCTGTTAACATACCGATTCAGCCTCTAACTGTATGTCAAATTGCGTAATGAAGTATCATGTTACAGGAATGACCTTTGATTTCAAGTCCTAATGGGAATCTCAACGAGTTAGAGATGTCTGCACTGCTAATAATTTGTGTTTATAAGGTTCTCATAACAGTATTGACATTTGGGCTGTGTTGGTGAAATCAGCAAAGGGGAAGATAAACTTAATCAAAATTCCTGTGTGGTGTGTAGGATCCCACTGTGATTTGAGACCTAACATTTGTAGTTTGTCATCACCTGGCGATTTTATTAAAGTCCTGCTTGTGTTTAAAACTTTAATTTTAGCCAGGTGAACATAGCTATACAGGAAAATCTCTACTGGAGTAGCTCGTGGCAATTTTATTTGAAGAGGAACTACTTGCTTTGGTTTCAGGAATGTTCTTTCACCCGATTAAGACCCCGCTCAATGTTGCCCTTTTGGTGGCGACTGAGTCTTGCAGGAGATGGTCAGGAGTGTCCTTGCTGTTCTGATGTGGGGGAGCACACCCGTGCAGTGTGACTTGCTAAAGACTGAACGTGGACTATCTGACAGGGGCTGAGCTTGTCTGGTTGAGGTTTGGTTGTTGTCACTGTGTCTCTGGGGCACAGCAGGTTCCCAGAGCTGCTGTGTTTGCTGCAGAGGGGTGAGCAGCTAATGGCACGGTGCAGCTGAGGGCTTCGGCAGGCAGCTGAAGCAGTGGCCTACCTTTGACCTTTCTTTCTTTTCTTTCTTCCTGCAGCAGCTTCTGTCCCTTGTTTTCTTTTTCTTATTTATTAGATAAGAGATGATGCTTTTCACAATAAGCAAGTTTGAATAGAGGGCGAAAATCCTAGGAGCAACTTTGTCTAAAGGCTGTCTTGTTTCCCCAGAGCCATCCAGCTGTAACCATGCCGCTTTGCCTTTTGTTTTCCATATGCTCCCTTTATGGAAGGTGAGACTTCAGGTGCAGTGTGTCACACGCTTAGCCCTTTGCTAAGGCTATGTTGGTTCATGCAGAGGAGGAGAATATTTGGGCTTCTCAAGAAGATTGATTTTTTTTTTTTTTTTTTTTTTTTTGGGCTGTAGAAGAGAAGCTCCTAGTGGCATCCTTCTAGGAGAGAGACTGTTAATTGCAGGAAAGCCAGACTGTGCTTCATGTTTCATTTTTGCAAGCATACTAAAGAAAAATGATACTCTGCAGTACAACTTTCCTGCATCTTTCAGGGTGCTCCCAGGCCTGTTTGTGTATCTGTGCCCTGACTTGCCAGGAGCCTTTTGCTTGAGCACGGTGGAGCTGTCTGAGCATCACTTTGCTTGGGATTTCCCTTCAAAGCATCACTCATCATCGAAATCCTGCTTTGTGCTGTTTGGCTACATAGGTGATCATGTTCCTCCACAAAACACATTAACAATACCTTTCGTGACATTGATTTGACAGGAATAGCTTTTAATTTATCTATGCCTCATTCGTTCCTGTGTGAAATTCGTCGTTACTGACAGTCTATGTTTATGTTTTTGACTTGTAGATGCCTGAAAGTTGACTAATGAATTCTTATTAGCTAGATCTCTTGATTTTCTTTTTTTGTAGTAAATTTTTATCTGCAGAGAAGCCCAGAAAAATCTTTCAGCTTTATTACCATGCTTATTCAATGCAGCACTGTTGCTCTCTGGGGTTTTGGTAGGGATCAGACACTCCTCATAGCAGTGTTCTCCTGAAACTTCATTTCAGTGTACGAACCACCTGAAAGAGAGCGAGCAGTGCATGTGGATAATAGAAATTATTTTGCATTGAGTGATTGTTCAGATTGAAATTAATTGTTTGTTGCTATAATATTTGGGGGTAAATCACAGTTGAGTCTCGGTAAGTTAATAAAGGAGAAAAGCACTTGTTCGTTAAAGGCAGAACGTTGCTGTGAGGTCTGTGCAGCCGTGAGGACTCTGTTGTATGGGGTGAACTTAACCACGTAGCTGAGACAAGCTGGAAACTAGGAGGTAAGTCATTCCACGTGGGTGACAGGTAACTCTGTGTTGTTTGATGATGGTAGAAACTGAACTCGGGTCCTCTCAGTCTGAGCTCTGTGCCATCGGTTTGCTACTTTTTTGGTTTTTGCTTTTAACGTGTATCTTAAGCCCCGCAGGACTCCCGTTGGATGGTTTGCATCCTTAAAGTCAAACTGCAAGAATGTAGTATAAAATGAATGCATTATGAGTGCCATCTACAGCATGGAACGGTTTCCACTAATTAATGTGTTGCTTTTTACCTCAAACAATTAATACTTCAAGATTTCTAAGGTTTTAGGGAAATTTTCTTGAAACAAAACATAGAGACTTTTTTGTCTTCAAATATAGTGACATCTTGTGTTCCTCACTTGTTGTCCAGAGCACATGTGTAGCAATCAGATAGAGCAAGAGAAAAGGAGAAGGTGCTACTGAATTCCCTACGCCTGTAATTAAATGCTTCTGTTCAAAGTTGAGACTTTTGTTGAGGCAGGTTCTAAATGCGCTATTTTCCCGTAGGCTACAGCGGTTACAGTGGCTTCCTCAAGGTCTCATTCCTTGGGATGTCCTCACTGGTCTGGTCGGTGAAGATGACAGTGACGTGACTTATTGCTCCAGAGGAAGGGTCTGTCAACTCGTTGGTGCTGTGTGTGGCCAAGATGGTCTAAACCATCTTGGGTCTGTGTAGACTGAGTGTTTTGCTATCTGCATGTCTGTCTTTGCATGGGCAAAGTGAAGAGAGATAGTGAGGAGCTAATACTTTTATTGTGCTTGAAATTGCGTGGGAAGAAACAAATTACTGAAATACCTACTGTGTCCTAAATGTTAAAAATAGATTTGTTTACTTATAGTTTTGTGTTTACTCTTTGGTCTTCAATATCAACTGGAAAACAGAAAAAGGAGGTCTGCTGGAAAGAGAAGGATCTAGACAAAATAAGTTTTACATATTTCTCTCATCTGTTTCCTCACCACTTTGTGACCAGACAATATCCAAACTCGCTCTGCTCCTGAATCTGTCTTGTACACCTCCCTTAAATTGGGCCGTATGTAGCTCCTGTGTCTTTTCTTCTCTAGGTAACTTCTGTTTTTCTTTGCTGGTTTTGCAGTTAGATGCCTCTGCTATGAAGCTGGCTTTCTACTTCGAGGCTTTCCCCGAGTCTGGTGCTCAGTGTTTAAAACTTGGTGCTGATACATGATCTCTGCTCTCCTATTTCAGGGTTTTCCAATGCCAGCCACTTTGGATTGCTCCTAGGAAAAAGGTTTTGTCTTGATGCAGTTACTCTTATCTGCCTGGCTAGATCTTGTCTAAATGCTGATAGTCCCATTAAATGAATAAAACAAACTTCATCATAGACATGTGCTGGTACCATGACCTCTCCTAGCATAGCATAAAGCAGAACATGAAATATTCAGGCATAAGGATAATAAGAGTCCATAAAATAAGTCTGGGATTTATAAGCTGTATATCCAAAATTCCACAAATCCATCATGGAAACCTTTCTTGTTCACACTTTGGGAACCTCTGTCAGGAGTTGTGCGCACACTTAGGAAACTTGTGCCTGTTGCTCGCTGGGACGTGTCCAGCATTAGCTTGCATCCATCGTACCCTCTGCTTCCCTATAGGAGAGAATTTAAATGCCAGTGCTCATGCACAATGATCAAACCCATGTTATTTGAATGTATTAGAACTTTTCAGGTCTTTCTAGTTACAGGTCAAGCTCTTTGGGCTGATGGTTCTAGTGGTTCTTAGAAGCCTTTTTCAGTTTTCTCAATATTTGTCCTATAAACCTGGAATCGCAACTGGATGTATTATGTAGGACTCATTAAAGTGCAATACAGGGATAAAAAGTAAGGTGGTATTGCATGATATTCCTTGTTTTCTCTTTCAATAATCAGTTTGATGTGTTTGGTCTATGCCTGCACTGGGAGCTCACTGTCATTGAGTAACTTTGAGGGTCTGATGATTCATTTGCCTTACATACCTGAAAATTAAACTGAGTTGAAACTTTTCTGGGAAGGAAGGTTACCTTTGTAGGTACTGTGTGTCCCTCTAGGAGGAGAGAGAAATGAACCAGATGCAGTACGTGCTTGTCCTAAATTGCTAGTGTGTCTTTGTTTTTCAGGGCATATGGTGATGTGAAAAGACATACCTGTGTCCCCTATTATCTGGGGATGATCAGCATGCCTCGGACCTGCTCTTGGGTTTTGCTGAACTGAAATTACCAAGTGATCTCTGTTGCTTTATACTACTGACCAGAAGTTATAATTCAGGCTTTCAGTCTTTAGCTAATAACTTTGCATGGGAGAGCATTTGTGCTCTTCTCTGGGTTATTTTCCCTGGCTGTTGCCAGATCATTGCAATGACTGATGCAGTCTGTGTTTGAATTTCACTGATAAAGGCCCTGAGCAGAGCCAAGGCTAACGCACATCTCTGCCAGATCCCTGTAAAAGCACCCCTACTGCAAGCAGCGATTCTCTTGCTACTATACTGCTGTTGCCATCATAAGCCTGCTGTCTAAACTTGTTCTCTCTTGTTCTAGGCTGCAAGCATGTGAAAGGCATTCTCCTGTATGGACCTCCAGGCTGTGGTAAAACACTTATGGCGAGACAGATTGGCAAGATGCTGAATGCCAGAGAACCAAAGGTGGTCAATGGTCCAGAAATCCTCAATAAATATGTGGGTGAATCAGAGGCCAACATCCGCAAGCTGTTTGCTGATGCAGAAGAAGAACAAAGAAGGGTAATGCAAACATAGATAAATAGCATGGTCAGTGTGAATGTGCCTAAAGAATGACTGGAAAGGAGGTTTATAATCAGAAAATTGCTGCTTGCATTAAAAGATTGAGTCACTGCTTAGCTGGTGGCTATAATTACTCTTGCAAGTCACTGAGTATTGGTGTTCTACAGTCATACAATGTCAGTTGAAAAAAATCATCTTAGAACCTGAAAAGGTAGCTGGTCTTCTACCTAGCTATGCTGAGGATGGGCAGTTTGTTTAAATTCCATGCAGAGTTACTTCAAAGTAATACAGGAGGGCCCATCCTGCTGTGCTTCATATTTGTAGTGGGTCACCTGCTCAGAAAGTGCTTAAAAGTAGGATTGCAACATATTTGCTCTGTTTTTTCCTTTTCTCTTTTTTTTTTTTTTTTTTAAAAAAGTGAGGGAGACATAATTAATCTATGTGGATTTTTGCTACTAAATACAGGTGGCACATGACATAGGATGGATTTCAAATAAGCTTTCACAGTTTCAGGTTTTTGGGTTACAGGCTTATTTGTATATTTTAGTCTTTGAAGTGTTATAATCGATACACTGTTAATTTTTTGTGGCAGAAAACTAATGGATGAAAATTGTGTCTCAAAACTAGAGAGTATAGATCTTTGAAACTGGAAGTTGAGATAAAGATTCTGTTTTTTCCAAACTTGCATTTTTTTTATCCATTACTTTAGCTGGCTATCAAAAGCCTAATCTTTAGTTTGAAAGTGTAAATACTTGTGTCCTGTGTGCTGTGGTAAGTTTTCTCTGCTGTGGATCACTTAATCTTGATAAGATTTTTCTGGTAAAGAAAATACAGCAAGTCACAGTTAATTGTAGGGAAGTCTTTTCAGAAGACATCAGCAAAAGACGCTGTATCCCTTTAATTTTATTTACACCTACCAAGACTGCAGATTTTGCTGATTAAAATAATTCAATTTTCTTCTGCAAAAGATTTATTAATCAGTAAGTCAGCTTTGCCTGGTAACCAATACCGATGTAAACAAACTCCTTCTCTCTGGTTGTTGCAATGTAACTGAAAGCTGTGAGCTTCTTTTCCTTTGCAATAACACACCTGTTAAAATAGACTTTATATTGTCTGGAGGGGATGGTCCTGATGACAAGTTGTGAGATTAAAAAGGTCTCAAAAAGGTTGCTATTGTAATGACTTGTGTCTGGGGCAGGTTGCCAGTGACAGCACATTTACCTGGTGTTAACATGGTCTCCACTGTCCACAAAAGATGTTTTAGAGGTGGAATTGTAAGGGAAAAAGCTTCATAATATGGTCACAAAAAGTATCCTGTTCTCTTACCAGCTGCAACTGCTTCACCTTTGAGTGAACCTGGAAATAAGCAGTTCTGTTCCTGATTGGCACTGAACGAATGGACTCCTTAAAAATTATTAAGAACAAAGCTACTCTGACAAGCTGTATATTTACTAACTTTGGTACAACCTGGGGTATTTCCCACATGGGATGCATCTCTCCACAGATGTGCTTTGTTCTCCGTCCCCCTTTCGGAGGGCTTACCCAGATACCAAGTACTGTTACCCGTTGAGCTGTGTGTTCCAGCTTTGGGCTTGTACTTTTCTTGTTCAGTCCAGTCCTCTTCTTGAAACGCTGCTTCTCTTATCAATGTCAGTTCTGAAGTCCTATGTTTGGGCAAAGCCCACCAGCCACCCCATTTTGGAGGCCGACAAGATGTTATTCTGGAAGGGGGTCTGATATGTACATAACGTGATACTAAAACACTTGGAGGTATCGATGTTCTGTATCTCTGTGGCTGAGCTTGTTGAGAAGTTACTGTTTTGTTTGGATTGCTTTCAGTGAT